TCGAGTCCGACATGCCACCGACAGGTGGTATCCGAGGGGATTTCCGCACGGAAAAAAAGAAAAAAAGGGTGTCAATATACAAGTATTTACAGACTTACAGGTGGGTATCTCGAATTCCGAGGTGAACCTACTTAGGTTAGGTTCACCTCGGAATGTAGTCCAGTCATTATAGTAGGTCCTACTATAATGACTGGACTACCAACTGAAGTGTCGCAAAAAGTCTTGTTACACATTTTTCGGTCTCGCTCCCATTCGCTCAGAGCGTGTATCGCGCGATAATGAACTTCGTTCCAATAAATAATTATTAGATTAAATTGAAAGATAAAATACTTGGTATAATTCCATGTTTTCTGACAATAACCCTCCGTCATATATAAGCTAATAATCTATACAAATAAATAAAATTGGAGTGTCTGTTTGTAATATTAAAATAACCGCTTTTTACTAAATGCATATGTATGTTTACACGGTACATATGCCACAATAACATTTTTTACAATTTTTGTCTGTCTGTCTGTCTGTTTGTTCCGGGTAAACTCTGGAACGGCTAGACCGATTTCGACGGGACTTTCACTGGCAGATAGCTGATGACATAAGGAGTAACTTAGGCTACTTTTTTTAGACTAGCTTCGCCCCGCGGCGTTGTCCGCGGTTATAACAACAAACGCGGGTAACACCGCGGGTCTCAGCTAGTTAAACAATAAAAAACAACCAAAAAGACCCGACTACGTGAAAGCTTATAATTAAAATTAAAAACCAAGCGATTATGACTTGAATTAATTTTTTTAACATAGTTACTTTCACACTCAAGACCAATTTAATGACACCTCAAACACCAAAATCCATCAAGCAGCCGTGCTACCGAGCGTGCCAAAGAAATATAACTAAATACACCCAAAATACACACATCCGTGTGATGACGGATTAAGAATACAGAGTGTCACCACCCCTATTCATCCCGTGGGTGTCGTAAGAGGCGACTAAGGGAGCAAACTACGCAGGACAACACCACTGCAGAGAGAAGGAAAACTTGACACAAACCCTATACCAACCCGTCTGGCCAGCGTGGTATAGTAGGCCAAAACCTCCTTTCTAAGGAGAGGCCTATGTCCAGCAGTGGACTATTAAAGGCTGTTAATGATGAATTAATGACACCCAAAATTAACCTTGCCTCAGGTGCAGTCGGGGTTTAAAACATGTATCGCTAAAACTACAATATTAAAATATTTGACTCAATCATCGAATCAAATCACTCTAAGACCTATCTTCTTTTAAACATACCTACCCTTACCGAACCGTACACGTCTCGATTTTATTTTCACAGATCTCATTTCGTTTCGGATATTTAATAGCGTAAATGATTTATTTTAAAATTGAATACTCATTTACGATTTAAACTTTGGCTTGAGTCTAAATATATTGAACACTTTATAATTTTACTGCCATTAATAACTTAAAATACGAATTCAAAGTCTAAAAATCTATATTCTATACAAATAAATAAAATTGGAGTGTCTGGTTTACACGGTACATAAGCCAAAATATTTTTTTTTTCAATTTTTGTCTGTCTTACTGTTTGTTCCGGGTAATCTCTGGAACGTCTGGACCGATTTCGACGGGACTTTCACTGGCAGATAGCTGATGACATAAGGAGTAACTTAGGCTACTTTTTTAGACTAGCTTCGCCCCGCAGCGGCATAACAAACAAACGCGGGTAACACCGCGGGTCTCAGCTAGTATATAATAAAAATTATAACACTGACAATCTGACACACAACGCCATCTAATTTCAAACTCAGCAGAACTTGTACTATGAAAGCTAGATTGGCTGCTAGAATACTTTTATACTTTTTTTTTGTAAATACACAAAGAACACAAGTTAAACACAGAGAACACCCAAACTCCGAAATAAATATTTACAGATCATACAAACAAACCATCGAATCGGATATGAAACCTCAGCACAACAGTCGCATACGATACCACTGTACCAACAAGGCAGTCTTAAAAAGGTTATTAACTTAAAGTTTTATGTTTTATTAAAAAAAGTTCTGAGGTAACAAACATAAAAAAAAATACAGTCGAATTGAGAACCTCCTCCTTTTTTTGAAGTCGGTTATAAATAAGATAAAAACAAGTTCACGCTTCGCATGCTGTGGTTGCATTGATATAAATTGAGAATCAAAACTAACGCGAAAAATAGGTAAAAACAATCTCTGAAGCTGGCTGTATATCATATCAAAATGTTATCTCAATCGGTACATAACTTTGAGTTTTGAAGCGTACACAGACCAATTTTAAATTTAAGACAATTCAGACATTCTTTTAACCACAAAACTGTTTAGCGACAACCAAATATGTAGTTTTACACAATTCTATAAAAAGTTAGATAATTCCAACTTTCTGAATGAGGGTTTTCTGAAATGTTTCACGTGAGATGGCAGCACTGTAGCGTTAGGTCCAACCACCTGTCAAAACACATACACGATTTGTATTTTTCGATCATTTTTTTGGTTTATTCATTCTTAAAAACGTTACAAAAGGAATATTGTTTTCTAAAATGCCACAGTGTTGTGCAGTGCCTATGTGTGCAAATAAAACTTTTGCGTCTCTATTTTTGAGCTCAATCTTCAGTTCGGCAACCTTTCTCTGGCCGTAATCTACAATAAACTCAATAACACTTCCAAATTCATAGAATTTCACTAAAAAATTATACGTTCGGTAAGAATCTGTGCTATCTGACAGCTGTTTGGACCTGACGCATACGAAGCGCCGTCTGGTGGCAGAAAAAATATAGAAAATCCTCATTGCCATAGATTTTATCCACGCCATAAGATCTGAAAAATACTTAGCTCATACATTAATGTCACTTAGTGACTACATCACACTCCACGCTATCAATTCTTAATCACAGACTTCAATTAATATAACGCTACTTTTAAAATACAAAAGAAATCAAATTAGTCTAAATATTTATGCAAATTCACTACAATAACAAACTAAAAACTCGAGGCAAATATTTCAACAGCTTTCAATCATATTTATCAAGGATATTCAATCTATAGTTAACGAGAATATGTCTCACATGATCCCAAATAGTTCTGTAGACCCCACACTGCAATATACATTAGTTTTAAGTACCCCATTTAATTGGACATGCGAATATTTTCATTAAACAGAACTAAAATACGTTTTTGTATTTGCAAGCTACAAACGAGTCTTAGTTTTTAGTGCTCAAAAAGCAGGCTATAACTAAGATTTATCTAAAATATAATCATTATTGTGTATTATAATTACAAGCACAACACAGATTAGAAACACAACACAACATTTCCTCATCAATTAGTTTTAAAACAATAATACTAATAATAAACATACGATTTTGTAGCTCACTCTTTAGTCCTTTTTTTTCATCCTGAAGATCATGACATATATTTAATATCATAGACATGAGCCACCATATGAAAACAAACGAATGAACAAACGAATGAACGAACGAAACGAAGTACTTCGAAGTACCTATAGAATAAAACGTAAAACATAAAATGGTACCACTAAAATAGGTTTAGCACATTTAATTAACCTTATAGTTAATACGTTATGTAGTTTTAACAATATCTATGAAAATAAAGTGTAGTTCTTAGTGTCTACACTATGCTGAAGGTATGCGACCGAAATTCCACGTCTGATTTTACGTTCCGACGTATTCGGCTGATATGACACACCAAAAGCGCGGCGTGGTGTCGTGTTGTCAGAATCAGACGAAAAACAAAGTGATATTATAATGGTTCCGTTAATCTTTTTGACGCGGAATGGCGCGGGCCTGTTCTCCCCCCGCCCTGGTTCACCTCCGGCAATCGAACCGAACTTCCGTCGCGTATAAAGTGTTGCATTTAAAATACATTGTCGCTGAACTTACGCCTGACCGAAGTTCGGCTGTACTCTATAACGCGATGTAATTTCGGCAAATTCGACGTAAGTTATTCAAATAGCATTGCTGGCGTAATCACACCGAATTTCAGTCGTGTAACTCCGGCATAGTGTGGTTAGACACTAAGTGAGGTCTTTACTACACCCTAATGAGTTACGAACATATTATTTATCAACTGCCATAATTTATTTCGAATGAATCATGAATGTAACATAATGAAGTATAGTTTAAATTGTATTCCGTTATAAATTTGATGTTTTCATTGTTTTCAAATACTCAATCAAATTAAATATAAATAAATATCAATATTAAATATAAATAATTTGACAGTAGCTAGATGTGACGTCACGCCACAGTATTTTATACAAAAATATACCGCGTCTATCATTTTAATGTTCAATCAAAAGGTACTTCTTGGACTTGACAGTCATGTACCTTATTATACAAATTTTTGACACACTACAGTAGTTAAAACATACAACGTCACTTTATTTTTATTCTTCAAAATTATATACCATTTTTTTTCTAAAAATGGTTTAAGATATTTGCGTATTTTTTTACAAACTAATTTATTAATATCATTGTGCTACAACCATTGTCTTGGCGTTTCAAATTTAGAAGCAAGCAAAATTCTATCTAACGATAAAACACAGTTTTATATATTATAATTATTACGTGCGGCAACACTCAAATGACACATTTTTGAATATAGACTATAACATGTAAAGGCGATTCTCTGTCTAAAATACAACAAGAAAAAGCAAATGATTTGAAGAACAGAAATACAATAACACAACTTTTTAACAATTTAAATATGATATTCTTAATTAAGATAAATAATACTCGTAATAAAAAAAATTGACGCATATTTACCATTTTTTCAAGGTGTTATTAATATATTAAGCATCAAAACATCAAAACCCTTTCAAGACCACAAAAAACACATTATTCGTCATTTCTACAATTTCTATGAATCGAAATTATGTAGTCATGATATTAGATCCCAAGACCCCATTTATTTGACGAATTAAATCGCTAATAATAAATAAATCATGTTCGCTTGGTGTGTTCAATCTACTGAGGAGTCGGAGTCTTCGTTTTTAGTACTCAAATGAAATGCTATAACTGGGATCGAACCTAAAACCATGCACGAGCCCATGCCGTAGAAGCACCAGGAGTAACCGCCGGTCACGTCACGAAGAAGACCTGCGAAGAAACAGTGTATTGATATTGGCATCACTGACACCAGACCAGCAGGCAGCAGACTGCTAAGCTACTGCTAAGAGGTCGTGGATTCAATTCCAAGGCAGGATAAAATATTGTGTGTTGAGCACGATATTTTATTCTTTGTGGTCTGGGTGTTATATAATATAGTAGCGGACCCGACAGACGTTGTCCTGTCAAATTTGACACTGCGATGGTAGCGCCGTCTGTCTGATCCAATGTAAAACATTCCAAAATCAACAACTACTAATAAATTAAAAATTAATTAAAAAAACATTGTCCAGCGGACAAAATTGTGAATCTAAACCATTCCCAGATCCCCTTGAACACACACAAAAAATTTCATCAAAATCGGTCCAGTCGTTTGAGAGAAGTTCAGTGACATACACACTCACAGAAGAATTATATATATAAAGATAAAATTCTCGTGTCACAATGTTCGTTCCCGTACTCCTCCGAAACGGCTTGTCTGATTCTCATGAAATTTTGTGTGCACATCGGGTAGGTCTGGTACCCCTAAATGGTAAGGGTGACCCATCCCTAAATATTTTTTTTTAGGCATAGCAACGTTTGCCGGGTCAGCTAGTCTTATATATAAAATTCTCGTGTCACAATGTTAGTTACCATACTCCTCTGAAACGGCTGGACCGATTTTTATGAAATTTTGTGTGTACATCGGGTAGGTCCGAGAATCGGCCAACATCTATTTTTCATACCCCTAAATGACAAGGGTGACCCACCACTAAATATTTTTAGAAATATTGTATATAATATATTCTACCACATACACACAACGCCATCTAGTCCCAAACTAAGCAGAGCTTGTACTATGGGTACTAGACAACTGATATAAATACATATATACTTTTTTTTTTGTAAATACATACATATTATACATAGAAACACCCAGACCAAATCAAACATCAAATGTTCATGCACACAAATGTTTGACTTGAGCGGGAATCGAACCCGAGACGTCGTCAAAACGGCAATGGTACGGCGTATGGCAAAACAACGTTTGCCGGGTTAGTTTATCTATAATTTCCTCCGAGTCTTTTAAACCATGTTGGTGTCGGCGTTAAATCTACTACTATACGGCTGAACTTCGATTTTCACGCGGAGCGACAGCCATCAGACCTTCACAACCCAAGTACTCGGCGATATCGTAATTCTGTATAAAGACTGCTGTTGTTCCTTCGGGCTCCAATTAACCCATAACGATTGCCGTTGGTTTTTGACGTGACAACGTCTTATAAATTGGTTTGCCGGGTGACACTTCAAGAAACTGCGTTACGCTCCGCTCACGTTATGCGCTCACAATGAGAGCGAGTGAGAGGCACGCGTCCCTTCCAATCGGGCATGGTTAGCCCGCCTAAGAGCGAGAGAGACAGACATAGTCGTTGTCACGTAAAACTTTCACCCGTATACCGACTTTACAGGCAACCAATTTTTTTTATTCCGAGTAATTTCCATTATGGTTCAAATTACACAGATTTATAGCAGCTAAAATTAGGATTTAGGGAATTCATTAAATATTAATTTTCAAATCTTGCATTTAAGAGAAAATCTAAAGGTTATTTTGTGTTAGTTGATATTTTAAGTGGAGGATAGCAATTTATACAAATAAATAAAATTGAAGTGTCTGTTTGTAATGACAAAATTATAGGTTTTTTTCACCTAAAAACCAGTTTAAATATTTTTTGTCTGTATGTCTGTCTTTCTGACTGTTTGTTCCGGGTAATCTTCAAAACGGCTAGAACGATTTTGATAATATTTTACTACCAAGTAACTGTCCGTAAAAGGAGTAAGTTAGGCTATTTTTTTTCTCTCAGAAAAACCTTTTAAATTTTGCCTGGTTGGGGAATCGAACTCACTAAGGCAGCGCTTTTCAAATTCCACCCGAACGAAGTCGCGGGCACCATCTGGTACTAAATAAACTTGTATAATATTGTTTATATGACGACTGGATGGCGTAGTGGTTTGTGTAACGGACTGCTATTCCAAAGGTCGCGGGTTCGATTCCCGCTCAAGTCAAACATTTGTGTGCAGGAACATTTAATGTTTGATTTGGTCTGGGTGTCTCTATGTATAATATGTATGTATTTACAAAAAAAAAGTATATATGTATTTATATCAGTTGTCTAGTACCTACAGTACAAGCTCTGCTTAGTTTGGGACTAGATGGCGTTGTGTGTATGTGGTTAGAATATTATTATATTATTATTATTTATAAAATATTCGTCTGAACATTATGTAGTCTAACAATTTGTCTGTAGATTTCCAGAAATCTCGCAATTCTTCATAGCATACTCAAAGTAAACTATAGAGATATAAGTGGAAGCGATACAGGCAACGAGAGAGATGGATACCCGATAGTTCCCTCTGTCTCTGTTTAGCTAAGCTGCGATTGACTATTGTGATGGGAGGCGGGAGATTAGAAATTTCCCCAGCCAACCACAGTGCTCGACTAGAAAGAGATAGATGGAATTATCTCAAACTCAAAATATCTTTATTTAATTATTTTTTTAATTGTTTGAAAACGTCTTTTATGTAGAGTCTTAAAGTCGTAAATTAACACACACCATAGCAACAATCTCTGTTTTATCAAATAGTTAGTAACAAAAAATAAGGTTAGGTATACAAAATCTATGATATGCCTGTGCCGATCTACAACCGCCCGTTTCCAAGGAGTTGAGCCTTATGAGAAGAAAGGGCAAACAAACTCATGGCCACTCTTTTGCAATTCACAGATAGATACAATGGCATCATTAAATATACCACAAAATTGTTTTGATGTTTACCAGTACTTCCTTTATTAAGGACTAAAAGATAAAAAGACAATAAAGAGAAAAACGAAATTAAGAAAAAAGATCAAAGAAAAGAGAATAGTATAGAGAAGATTCAATATTAATTCTTAGTAAGTATATGTAAAAATATTTGGTTCGTCACTACGGTGACGGATTAAGGATATAGAGTGTCACCACCCCTATTCATCCCGTGGGTGTCGTAAGAGCCGTCTAAGGGAACAAACTGCACAGGACAACAGCACTGCAAAAAGAAGGAAAACTTGAAACAAACCCTATACCAACCCGTCGGGCCATCGTGGTATTGTAGGCCAAAACCTCCTTTTTATGGAGAGGCCTATGTCCAGCAGTGGGCTATCAAAGGCTGTTGATGATGATAATGATGACTACTAGCATTTTACGAGGATTAAAACAACCATTTCAAGGACATCTCTTTTCATATTCCTTATATAAATTTAAAAATAATTTAGCGTACGGTGGAATGGGTACCTACTTAAGTCTTTTCACCTATTCATGTAATCATCACATATATGCAGATCTTACCAGCAGTAGGTGGAACGGAAACAGCAGCCAGACTCTGGAACATTCTAACGAGACCGTATGATGATGCAATGCGAGCTGTTCCAAAGGCATCTGCCAGGAGTACAGGCACCAGGAGGAACCAACATCCTAGACATAAGCCGTAAGCACCTGGAACAGCAAAACAGAAGAGAGTTTAAACCTTTAGTGTGAGGGAGATAGGTATGTTTTACTAAGCACTCGGCTTAGTAGTTTGTACTCCAATGAGACTAAGTGTCATAGTCCCTTAAGTCTCATTTTACGGGACTAATGGTTAGGTACCCTAATTGCTAAGCCAGAGGTCGTTAGTTCCCACCCAAAATTGTGATGAGCACAATCGTTTGTACTGTGTCTCTTTCTCTTTTTTCTCTTTTTTTTTAAAGACAGCTCCCGCATTACGAATATATTCCTGTAACGCGGGGGACTCTACGAACATACATGAAACGGACACAAAGAACACCCAGACTCAGAACAACAATTTGTGGATCACACAAAGTGTCGTCCCATGTGGGGATCGAACCCACAACACAGCGTAGAAGTAAGCGGCGTGGCGACCGCTTAAACCACTACGCCATCCGTGCAGTCAATATGGAGGGATATGGATGGCCTGGATGTAGTTTATCTATATTATGTAAGTATTTTGTAATGTACAGTTACTTTTTTGGGAACACCAACCTATATTTATCAAACTGTCAATTTGACAGTATTTTCTGTTTGGAATTTGACAGCATCGAACAGAAAATAAATACCTAGGCAGTGTATAGTTATTCTAAAGTTTACTTAATAATGTAAGTATACTTAGTACTTATAATTTCCATAATATTTTTCCATACCTTGTATGGATGACAAACCGAATAAGTGTCCAGCAAAAAGCGCCAAATAATAGTTCCAAAACCGACCAGAATGGCGCTAGTGTAGCCAAAAATTATATAAACATAGCAGCCAGTTATAGACGGAATGAAATTTGCAGAGTTAAAGTAATGTTCTAATCTGTAAACAGTAAATACACGTCAGGGATGTTAGACGTACCAATTTCTTGGTATAAGTACATTTTTTAAAGGTCTTGTACCATGTACCAACTCATGGTGACTCCCACATACAAAGAAACAGAAACATACTACAGCGCCATCTAACGAAGGTACACCGAATTACGGAGTAGCTCCTGAATGGTAATATATATCCTGTATCGCGATATGAAAAATTCTCTCGCCGATTAGTATATATACAACTCCCCAACATCAACAGTTGGGCCGCGGCCGGCCAGGTCTGATCACCCCGCCTGGTTGGAGGATCCTCCCTTTGTGTTGGAGGGACATGAGACCTGTTCCTCCACGAACTAAATATTGTGTTGGTACGCAATAATACCAACTTTCTCCGTTGATCATAAATTAAATATATTTTCTTGTGTCTAACAGTCTGGTCCAAGTCCGGTCTTTAATATTCCGGTTGCAACTATAGGGCCCCGAATTACCTTTTACGGGCATTTTTCACAGTGATGGTTACCCTTTTTTTTTTTTTTTTTTTCCGTGCGGTAATCCCCTCGGATACCACCTGTCGGTGGCATGTCGGACACGAACCGACTAAAACCGCACGCCTTCGCCGGGTACTAATAGCCGGGGAACCAGGTATACCCTAGAAAGGAAGGCCCTGGTGCCCCGACATACCTCGGGTCATCTACAGACGAGTAGACGACCCCCGCCCCGTGTGGGAACCCCTGGGATGTTCCCTGTGCTCCCTGAAAGCGAGCGCGCTTCGCAACGCGCTCGCCGCCACCCCGGCCTGCTTCTGCTAGGGTGACAGATGGCCTCACCTGTCACCCCCAGGCCTGCGCTTATGGAGGACGGAGGTCGTTCTGCGACCTCCGGCGCCTGAGTCGCCTGCGCTGCCTGGCCCGTGCCCGGGCCTGGCGGGCCGGGAGAGTTCTAAACCTCTCCCGGTCCCGCTCCGCCGTCTCCTTCGCGAGCATAACTTAGTGATGGTTACCCTAACCTCTACACTGCATATTAAATAATTAAAAATGTCAGTAATTACAATCTTACCTGATGCAATGGCTAAGGCCCACCATGAACTCAAGCTTGGAAGCGCCAACACTGCACAGCCGGCCACCAAAATACTGGAAAAGATTTAATTGTTCAAATTATCTTTTTTTTATCTAAATTAATGTAGTTTATTTTATATAGTCATCATCACTGCTGGATATAGGCCTCTCCCTAGAAAGGATGTTTTGGCCTACTATACCACGCTGGCCAGACGGGTTGGTATAGGGTTTGTTTCAAGTTTTTCACCCTTTGCAGTTCTAGTTTAGTTTTGCAGTGTCCTGCGTAGTTTGCTCCCTCAGTCGGCTCTTACGACACCCACGAGATTAATAAGGGTGGTGACACTCCGTATTCTTAATCCATCACCACACAGGTTATTTATATAGTGTCATTAGTTAAAAAGAATAGGTTTCTAAACACAAATTTACACATTAGCTCGCATTAATATAGCGTTAAATCAATTCGGATATTATTTTTGCTAAGAAGCAAACGAACCCGTATGTTACCTGGTGGTAACTAAAGACAAGGGGAAAAAAATCTTAGAAGATGAATTTATACGCCAACACAACGTTCCCCTAGGTACTAGGACTTTGGGACTAATCCCACACACACGCCCACCAATGTAACTCCTGTACACCAGGATCCTCAGCAGTGACCCACGAACACACCGAGTTATGACACTCGGGAAGTCCCAGGAAGAAATTAAACTGTCTTGGAACCCGCAACGAAATTAATCAGAAGAAAATTGGAGGAGTTGGAAATACAGTAAATCCACTTCCCTCCTTAGCAAAGCGGGAGACAAAATGAAGTAAAATGGGCATACACCCTTTTAAACAGGGAAGCACCACGGCCACAAATATTACGGGTCCTACGTGAGCTATGTTTGATTTCTATAATATGTATGGCAGAATCGCCTAAACGCACGGAAATTCACCCTAGTTGACACAAGATCCCCTTAGTATACCGCCCCAGATGTCACCTGCAAGCTATTCAGCATTATATTACGTTCATTATACCAAAGACTAGGTACTAGGACTGTGTAGAATAACCAACGTACCTGAGTATATAGGCCTTTCTTCTACAAAATAAATGAAGGTCACACAGGTAACCCAGGCCAAGTCTACCGCATAGATCCAAAACGGCGCTGATTGCCACCAGATGACCTGGAAATAATAATATTATAGACTGATTAGAGAACCCCGCAATGATGGTAAATATCGCCCTTCCTCATGTTTACATAAAAATATATTATTTGTGCGACATATTTGTCTAAATAAAGTCCAAAATACGGGCCTGTTGGTCTAGTGGTTAGTGAGCTTGACTGCTAAACCGGAGGACGTGGGTTCAATTCCCACCCAGAACAAACATTGTGTGATGAGCACGGTCATTTGTTCTGTGTCAGGGTGTAAATTATCTATAATATGTATGTATTTAGTAATATATAAGTATGTTTATCAGCAGTCTGGTTACCAGAGTACAGGCTCTGCCTAGTTTGGGACGGCCGTGCGTGAGATATATATGTATATAGAAATGCCCACTTCCATTATCTAACAAGGATAGGAATCTTTGTTATTCTATCTTCTCCTTTGTTCTTCACATATTTTCAGTATAATCCGTTCTTCTTTCGCCATCTCAAAGGAGTTCCACTATCCATTTCCTACTGAGTCTGCTGTACTTGTCAAAATGAACCACAAGAGCCTAGCTCAAGGGTTTTACCAGAAGCCAAAGAAGTGTTAGTAGGTAAAGCTTGTTTAAAAGAAGTATACCACTCACCGGCTGCTGATTTACTGTGCCCTACAGCTACAGTGTATGCTGGGAGATAGTACAGCGCGTAGGGTGAACCGCAAGACATCAGCGCCACCGAAGCACACAGGAGACCGAAACGCCAGGATTTCAGTAACGACACGTCTAAATACCTGGAAAAGGCACACACAATATGTAAGATAAGGTATAATCTTCCGTGGGAGAGTCATGAGAGAACAGAGTAATGCCAGACAATTCTTTCATTTGATTTTTACCGAGTGAGTGAGGCTATTTGATCTCAAAACCACTCTCTTTGTAATTCTGGAAAAGTTTCAGGGATTCACTCAAACAAAACACATTGCCGGACCGATACGACCTTCAATTTAAGAAAAGAGAGCATACTCCTTCATAGAAGGACGGCAACGCGTTTGTGACTCCTGAGTTGCAGACGTTCATGGTCGGCGGTAGTCACTTCCATTAGGTGACCCCGCCTGCTGTCTGCCCCCTCTTACATAAAAAAAAACCTCAAAATCGATCCATTGCGCTGCGGAGCATGCGCTGCCTCTAGAGAGTAGAAGGGGAACCCCGTGGTACCTATACCGAGGGGTCATCTACATGCCGTAGATGGTCTGGTGTCCGTCGTGGTACCAGGGATTTCCTTTCTAGGGAACACCTGGTTCCCCGGCTACTTGTACCCGAGATGGCGTACGGTTTTTAGTCGGTTTGATTCCGACATCATCACCCCACCGGTGGGTGGTATCCGAGGGGATTTCCGAACAGAAAAAAAGGTGTCACATGCAGAATAATTAAATATACATGTATGTATATTCGACTTAACATTAGCAAAATGTAAATTAGTAGAAGATAAATTATTTTAGCTAGCAATAATCTCTCTCTTACCTCGATATCTTCGCAATACATCCCCTCCGTTTCTTCTCTGGTTCTTCTTCTTTCTGCACTTCCTCTTGCTTGATTGTTATTGGTTCTGTTAGCTTGTTGGGGATAAGCCGTGTTGGGAGTGGCGGACGGATGTACAAGGATCTGTAAATAAATAATATTCATTAAAAATGTTCATAAAATGAAAACTACTGGGCCTAACTATGTTAAATTTTTATGGGGACCAAATGGCAACTATTCCGCATCAAACTAAAGAAGAATCACGTAAATCGGATCATAAATCTCAGAGTAATCGGTGCACATACATAAATAAAAAATACCAATCGAATTGAGAACCTCCTCCTTTTTGAAGTCGGTTAAATATTCTTACATATACACGGATGGCTCCTTAAGCGGTCACCTCGCCGCTTCCTACTGCGCTGAGTCACGGTACAATTATAATACAGTAGTGTAACTCGGCCGCACGATAGAAATAAATGCCTACAGCCGCGCGGTACGTAAACATGCGTTAGGGCTGCCCGTCTCCAGCATTTTAATTATATTTGCCTTCTTTCTGTTTCTATTTAGATTTGTGATTGTAAATATCCTTTTTATATAAATAAATGAAATACTTTGTATATTGAATAGGAAGTGTTCAATAAAAAGGCGTGTTGTTTTTTGATTGGTAGATTCAATTAAAAAAACTTATTTTTGTTTGAAAAACAAATCGGGCTTATAAATTTGCGACCGAAAAAAATCCTTCTATAAAATAAAATAAATGTGCTTTCTCCTTACGCGTTACAAAACTCCAATCCTTAGAAACTCCAACACCTACCTACTCAACTAGAATGCAAGAAACAGCTGACGAGAGAGACAGTCTCTATAAATTAGGTACCTACCTACAACTCAAAACAAAAATTCTTTGGTCACCAATTAATTAATTATTAAAAAGCTGAAGAGCTGACTACGAATGTTTTAAAATCACAACCCTCAAACATCTAAATATTATATATGAGTCTAGCTGTTGTTGTTAATACCGAGAAAATAAAACCAGTTTTTAGTGGTATATGTTGTTATAGTAGCAGCAGAAACACTTTGTGAAAATTTCGAAAACTGTCTAATGACACACAGACGGTAAAAATGTTTTTTTAGTATTATTCATACACACAGATAATAAACAAATATTATTAATAATAAAATACCACGTCTTTACTTTGAATTATGCAAAGTAACAAAACACACATGCACCGAAGTTTTAACACAAGCGTAAGTAGGTAGGTACCTACCGTATCATGATTCATTCAGAACCGCATATAACTCCCTATTTCACTCGTCTCAATAACTTTCCGTTACTCTATTTGCTTTATTTATTCATCCAAACACCTTTTTTTTCGTGAGATAAAAGGAAATACTTATCCATTAAAAAGACACACATTATGTACCTACCTACTAGTAAGTAAAATTATTTTATAGTCTTACTTTTCAGAGTTTCCAGGTAATTTAAAAAAACTTATGTCTGGATGCGTTATTGACGAATTCATACAACCAAAAACAGCACAATATTTCCTACTCGTCATATTAACTGATTTTTAGAGAAAAAATCGCGCGGTTATTGTTAAAAAAACAACACGCAGTCCGTTCGACACTGCGGTACAGCCGTGACTGTCTGCGCCCCGAGCGCACCCCGAGATCGAGACGCGTAGGTATAGCTCCCGTTTCGTCCGTTTGTGTGAAGTTGCAGTACTGTATTATAATAGTACCGTGGCTGAGTGTTGTGGGTTCGATCCCACTTTGTGTGATCCAAAAATTGTTGTTCTATGCCTGGGTGTTATTTGTGTCCGTTTCATGTATGTTTGTAAAGTCCCCCGTGACACAAAATTTATTAAATATATCTTAACTAATATTATAAAGAGGAAAGATTTGTTTGTTTATTTGTTTGTTTGTTACGATTTAATTCAAAAACTACTGGACCGATTTTCGTTCACCGTTAGAAAGCTACATCTTTACCGAGTGACATAGGCTACATTTATTTACAAAAATAATTAAGGATCCCTTCTAAAACTTGAATAATGTGACCCAAGGTGTAAAATTATTTGTCATATAATGTCTCTCATCGCATGCGCTGCGTAAACTATTGATGATAGAACAAAACAATGTACTACAATATTAAAGAACATATCAATATATATAAAAAAGTCCTCGATAGCATATGCCTATCTCCGCCTTATAACTCACAATAACTACGTTTACTTTTAAAATTTTGATTGATTAATAATAATGTTTTTTTGCGAATCTTATTTAACCCATATGGTATTAATTTATATCTAAATAAATATGTTTCTAAATGGAAATTTAATATAGAATATTTGTTTCCTTAACTCCTTAACCATCTGGAAACCCTCCACATGAATTAACGCTAAAAATTGGAATGCCTATAATGCTATTACGAAATTTAAGCCCTCCTAGCATGTGCAATGGCACGCGTCTTCTTATAAGGGAATTGAGGGACAATATCATTGTAGCGACCATACTGGCCCCGCAGCCAGTCATTTAGCGCACATACCCCTATGCCTGTGATCCATACCGATTTGCCAATACCCTTCAAACGTCTTCAATTTCCTGTGAAAACAATTAGTTACATGGCCAACTGTATGTTGGCTTATCGCGAGTTGGAGCTCCCGAAAAACAATATTTTTTATTACCCCATAATAATATAACATCAAATGTCGTTTACAGAGAAGCTCTAAATAATTAAATATTTACCATTATATTATACGCGTGCCAAGCCGGGGCGGGCTGCTAGTATATTATAAAATGAAGTCTCCGTCCGCGTCTGTCTGTATGAATGCGTTAAACTAAAAAACTACCAAACGGTTTTGTAACCGAGGTTAACACATTGCAAAGTTAAGTAATCCTAGTCAGGTCAGTCTATGGATGGGTGACCCTTCTTAAAACGTTGAGACCCCTCTGTGTCTCGGAGAACACGTTAAGCAATTGGTCCCGGTTGCCATGAGAACATCTGTGGCAATCTTTACGATTAAGATTACGAATACGGCAACAATACAGAACTTCGATATCGCTTAGTACTTGGGTTATGGAGGTCTAATGGCGAAGTTTAGCCGTATCGTGGTAGACTTAAACTCGACTCGACTAAAAAAAGGGTCGGCGGGCTAAAAACAGCACAGCAAAAAGAAGGAACACTTGACACAAACCCTAGACCCTAGACCATTTAAGTTGTTTGTTTGTCTCCTATAATGTGTGTGCCATTAGAAAATTAACATTTCGTTTACTATCAAGAACACAGTAACTCACCGACTAATTTTCCGTCTGCTGGCCTTATACACGCAAGTACTGTCAGTAGACAAGTCTTCCACCGAATGTAATATTGACGAAGACCTCGTCGGCCGAAGACGAAGACGAACCACCTCTTTTGGTAAACCTAAAATTAGAAAGAATTTATTAAACACACCAACAAAAAATTCAAAGTAATTAAAAAATCACTTTTTGCCTCGCACAGGCATTCTGTGGAACGGGTTATCGTCTGTGGTATTTCCGGACCGATAAGCCCTTCAAACCTTTAAGAAAAAAGCGTACTCCTTGCTAAAAGAAAAAAACCCTTAATAAAGTATTTGTATTTGTAAAGGCCGGCAAAGCGTTTGAAAAATAATGTTCGTAAAATCGATCCAGTGCGCTGCGGAGCGCGCGCATCCTCTAGAGATTAAATGGGAACATCGTGGTTCCCTCACCGAGGGGTCATCTACATCACGGGGTCCGTCGGGGTACCAGGGATTTCATTTTAGGGAACACCTGGTTCCCCGGCTACAGGTACTCGAGAATGCGTACGGTTTTTAATCGGTTTGATTTCGATATTACCATCCCACCGGTGGTAAAAAACGAAAAAAATGTCAAGGCACGAATGGACCTGCTCAAAAGGTTACCACTCAGGATACGGAGAACAAGCACTAAGTGAGTGCGGTTAACGAAACCCAAAACCCGCCTCCCTATTTCTTGGTGGGAGTGGGGGGGAGGAGGGGGCTTAAAGAGCGACAACACACTTGTGACTCTTAACGAAGTGTTCATGGGCAACGGTAATCACTGACCATCAGGACTCATCTGCTTGTTTGGCCTCTTTTACTATACAAAAATCTCCTGGCATCACCAACGCCACAAAGCTTAATCTTTTGGACTAGTCGACACGGATTCTGAAGAGTTCTGCTGTCCACCGGTTTTATGAGCTCCAAGATACCACATTACAGTACTGTCATCCAAACTACATATTATAAATACAATAAATACTGACCACTACGCCATCCGTTCGATGGCGTAGTGGTTTAAGCGGTCGCCACGTCCACAAACCGTCGTTCTAAATCTGGGTTCTCTTTGTGTCATGTAGGTTTGTATAGTTCCCCGCGACACAGGATATATTCCTAGGGCGGCAGTTGTCTTAAAAAAAAAACAGTGTCACTCCGGCAGTGCCGACAGAAGTAAAAACTTGAAAGTTTAAAAAAAATTGATCATTACAGGAAAAAAATATGTTTTTTCGATTCGAAAAGTTCCGACATGAATATATCTCTGTTTTGTAGGTAAATACATTGTGTATTAATATTATAAATAGTCATTTTATCAATATATTTGAACCCAAACTCGGCTCTCATGTAAACGGCTGGTACATGTAGATACTTATATACAGATGTGTCGGTAACGGTAACAGTGTCGCGAGTTCAATGATTTTTTCCCATTTAAGAAAACACATTTATTTCTTTGTTCAAAAATGCCCAACGCGTCTACAGAAGTTTTTACTACAAAAAAAATAAAGTTACATTTAGATATAACAATTTTACCTAGGTTAAAATTTACTTTGAACATTTGTTTACGCCCAATTCATCAAATCAAGAAGTCCCGTTTGACGTTTCATAATTTTCAAGCCAAAACCAGTTTGTATTGGCTTACCTAACACACACAATTTCAATAACTTATTCCGTAAAACCATGGAATTATTATTCTCTGTTTATTTTATCACAAGATGCACAATTTTTAATAACAAAATTTTAATTTAATATTTTAAACAACGCAAAATACACCATAGTTTTTGAGGAACGTGTTTCCATTCCCTTAATCCTGTTTTCTTCAGTAAAACCAGCGTTCAGTAACTCACAGTGATAATACTTCTGATGTTCCTGAAGAATCCATATCGTGTTCCACTTACCTACTACTCCTAAAACATCCAAGCCTTCTGAATCTTCCGAGTCAGAATGCTGGCACTGCATCGGCGGACGACTGACCTGCAAATTACAGATAACATTGTCATTCGATCGACTGCCTCAGCGGTGCAGTGGTAGCGAATGCAACTGCTGTGCTGAGGTCTCGGGTTCGATTCTCAGGTCGGACTAAATGTTTCTATGATCTGCAAATATTTGTTTAAGCGTTGCATGTATTTGCAAAAAAAAAGTATTTGAGTATTCTATCAGTCAATCTAGCTTTCATAGTAGCTAGTAATCAAGCTCTGCTTAGTTTGAAACTAGATGGCGCTGAGTGACCGACCGAGGGTCCATAGGCACCTCACGCCGTTTTCATTATTATTTCAGGTCCAACGGGTCTTACGTAGCTAAAATATTGAATTGCTGGATATCCGTCCCCGTAGTAGACTCACTCACACTCAAACACAAGACTCTAGGGGGAGAGGGGGGGGGGGGCAGGTGGCCATAGTTGGCGGTAGTTAATTACCATCAGGTGATCACTCTGCTCGTTCACTTGCTAAACCATAAAAAGCATGAACTCACCTCTATTAAATTAGGATGCAGAATTTCATTCAGGAAATTATTTCTTTTCAAATCTTCACTCATCTGTATGTTCTTCTGGTTGAGGGTCAGTTCGTTCTCTGGGTGAAAGAGGCTATGGAGACGGTTATCCTTGAAGTCGTTCTTCGAAAAGATGGCAGCGTGATCTGATAATAAGAGTAAGTTGAATAGACAAAAAACAAACAGAATAATGTTCTGTTATCCACCTTCTGGCTGCATCATAAGATCAACTTCAATAGATAAAGTTACTAGTGGTGAGGTGACGGATTAAAAATACAGAGTGCCACCACCCCTATTCATTCCGTGGGTGTCGTAAAAGGCGACTAAGGGAGCAAACTACGCAGGACAACAGCACTGCAAAGGATGAAAAACTGGAAACAAACGCTATACCAACCCGTCTGGCCAGCGTGGTATAGTAGGCCAAAACCTCCTTTCTAAGGAGAGGCATATGTCCAGCAGTGGACTGTTAAAGGCTGTTGATGAAGTATTGTGATAATTTTACAAATTCCTTTAATATTACGAACTTACAATTCGGTAGTTAGAACGCTATCGCTTAACGGTGTCACAAAAACTATGGACATTCTTACCTTCTTGTATGTCATGCAGCAATGTAGTGTGTTCAGTTGTGGTAGTGGTGGCTGGAGTTCTGTCTGCGAGTCCTGAGGAGTTGCAACTGACGGGAGCTGGACGGTACAGGGTCGCTGATACACAGACGTGAAGCATTCCACCTCCTGTAAAAAGAATTGAGTATCAAGAATGATAAACCGACTAGCAGTAATACAGAACGGTGATAAGCCGTAGCCTCTGTCCTAATAAGAATGTGAGTTTATTGGTTTATTACGATTACCCTTTTTAACTGCCCAGCGGATTATCATGTGCTTTTTACTTCAGTACCTCAAAGAGCCTACCTGGGGTCTTGAACTGTCAGGTCTATTTTTTTTTTAAAGACAAGTCCCACATTAGGAATATGTAATTCAAAAATTCATGAAACGGACACAAAGAATACCCAGACTCAGAACAACAATTTGTGGATCACACAAAGTGTTGTCCCATGGGGGTCGAACCCACAACACTTACCGCAGTAGGAATCGGCGAGGTGACCGCTTTAACATCATATTGAGGCCACTAAGGCAAAGACTGGTTTTTATTATTGAACTTAAAATTGAAGAATTCTAACTATTCTTACCCAAAAGCAGCACAGTCCCGTGGAGTCCATACATGTCAACCAGTTTCTCTATCAGCATCGGGAAAACAAAGCTCCCTGCAGCAGTCCCACTCACACATATACCGTTAGCTAAAGCCCTAAAAAGAGACAGAAGTATAATGTTAACTCACAGAATCAGATAGTCACAGATGCATTGAGAAGAGAATAAAACTAAAATATTAATAAGATATTTAACTGTCAAGACAAATGGAATGAGCATCAAAAAGTTATCAAAACTAAAACACGGGCCAAAAATAGGTCCCTGTGGCATGCGCATTGCTATAGATGATCCAGAGAAAGTAATTTTGTCTATTAAAGATGCTAATGACTACTGCTAAAGTAATCAGCTGCCAAATATAACGCTGTCATTGTTTGAAGTGGTTATGTGTAATTTTTCGCTATAGTGTGCTGTGTACGACGCAATCAAAAGCTTTCGAAAACAAATTATCAAATATCTATAACAAATTATCGCTTATTAAGATGTTGAATTGTTTTTTCTTTGTATAACAAATAATTTGTTCGAAAATAGTCATTAGAATAGTTCAAGTAAATTTGCTCAGGATAGTCTGTTAAAACGTAAATGTTTATGTAATCTGTTCGCCATAATGTTGAAGCATATGTATTAGATCCGTTCAATGAAAAGTATTGTAGGTAATATTTAGGTCCGTAAATACTGGTCATCTCTGTTCCCGATTCTTTTGTTATGTTTTATTACTACGTGTTTAGAATGTTGTAGTTGTACGGATCACTACTTTTATATAGGTACTTTATCCTGAAAGTCAGCAGTATGTTTTTTAATCTATTGTTTTTCAGTAGAAGTTCGAACTTTTGAAGATATCGAAAGATCGTATTATAAAGATATAAAAGTAATATACCGGTTTAGATCCTTTTACCTGTGTTTATCAAAATATTGGGACACTATTACAATTCCAGGTGTAGTGGATAATCCGCCACCAATTCCTGGAAAAAGAAAAGGACATGTTAAATCAATTAATCAACAAATTATGATTTCACTTATCACAGTATCTGATCAGCTTTTGTCTGAAGGCCAAGTCTCGTAATAAAAGTTCGATTACACAACTGTCATAAAAGGTATTTTCGTAGTAAAATGATTCTGTGGCGACTCCCACATACGAAAGAAACAGGAACATACTACAGCGCCATCTAATGAAGACACTCCGAACTACTAAACAAGAATTGCTAATCCTGTATCACGATATGAAGAATACCCTCGCCGATTAGCATATATACAACTTCCCAACATCAACCGTTGAGGCCGCGGCCCGCCAGGCATGATCACCTCGCCTGGTCGGAGGATCCTCCCTTTGTGTTGGAGGGACATGACACCCGTTCCTCCACAATTCTAATTCAAAATTTCTAATTCCTGATGTGTTATGTTAATCGTCTTAACTAATATGAAACTTTTTAGAAAACTCACCAGTCATGACTCCAAAACTTAACAGCAAATGCAATAAGCCCGTGCTGAAGTAAGATAAGGCTAGTCCAGTGGCGCAAAACAGACCTCCGATGAACACCACCAGACGGCAGGAGTACTTCTCGCAGAGAGCTGATGAAAGTGGTGCTAGAAAGAACGAAAAAAACGTAACGAGGTCATTCGATCACAAAATTTTATTCTTAATATTTTTTAATACCGGTCGCCTTATATGTAAATCGATGATTAAGGAGTACACTCCAAAAAAAGATGATATAATAGAAATGTCGGCAGCTGTTAGAATCTTCATAAAATGCAGAATAGTGACATTATACTTAACTTGGCATATTAATTCGTTAACCTCTAGACTTGAATGCTGGATCTGGACTGACAACGTCAGAAGTAAAGGCGGTTGCAGACCTTTAGCTTTTCCGCCAGGAAATATAGAAGTGTTAGTGAAAAAATTATGTATGTATGTGTCTTCCGCACAAATCTAGGAAGCTAAATTAACCACTTCTCGGTGGCTCAATTTTGGTGTAACTTGAGTGGCAATCCCATAAAAAGGATGGAGCTGTTTTGATGATGAAGCCGGAAGACGGCCTTAGAAACTTCTTAACTAAACACGATAAACCCATCGTGTTTGGGCTCATTTGTTTTATCACCACAACTCACCAAAGTAGTTTGGTGCTAAATGATATACAGGGTCCATAAATATTTGTTTAAAAAAAGAAATTACAATTATTTTTTTGTTACAGTTTGTTTTGTACAGCATAATTTACAATCCAGTAACTGCGGTGATTCCGGGTTCGAATCCCACTCACTAGACTACCGACTTCAACCTACTCCTATTACTAATATTATCTTACCTAGTGCCAAACACAAAGTCGACAATGCAGCAGGTATCCACGACGCCACCGACTCCGAGGAGTCTGGAAACGTCTCCATTATCTCCACATACAGAACTCCGTAAGACTTGAACAAGCCAGCCACCCAGAACTGTACCATGAATGCTCCGAAGACCACTACCCAGCCGTAACCGCCGTCAGGAGGCGCCAGGCTCCTGAAAGGGGATCAGAAACACTGGCTTAAGGGTCATCGCCTCTAGAGCTAACTTTAAGTACTGCAAATCAAATCATCAGTAATGCAACACATTTCTACATCCTTACAGATTTGATTGCGAACCGCTTACCAATTATCCCTATGTCTATCTATACCTATGACTTACCACCACATGACCTGTGTGGGGGGACCCTCCCCCCTCCCTATGGTTTCGGGTAGGAAACAAAACTATGACTGCAGTCGCTCGAGGAGGCTCACAGTCTACATGTCGCTTTGCCACATTTGTTTGTGCACAAAGAATAATTCAATAATGAACTTACTCAGCAGAAGAGTCGGGAGGTGGCCGCAGTTTCCTGGAGGCAGCCAGCAGAGGGCGCGCAGTCACCGACGAGAGAGTCAAGAGAGAGTCCTCCTCTTGCTCCGTCGGAGACATCGCTGATAGGTACGCACCCACTTGCTGTGAGATAGACAACAACAACATATTTATAGTCGATAAAACTGTGGTACAATGTTGCCAGGTTAAATAATAATAATAATAAGCCCTTTATTCTGAATTAGTACATACAATATTAAACAGTTTAGAAGTTAAGTTTATAAAATATCTCTTAATTCAGAATGCCTGTTGGCATAGGCCTCCTCTAGCACTTTCCATTGGGTTCTGTCTCGCGCTACCCTTCTCCAGTGATGTCCAGCTGTTAGCCTCAGGTCATCTGCCCATCTCGCTTGTTGGCGTCCTCTGTTTCGTTTGCCATCTCTGGGGCTAGGTTGTCATATCCTAAATACCAGGTTTCGGTATCTTTAAAAGTATTGTAATTTCAAACTAAATATTTTTTAAATTTATTTTTTTAATGGTTACAATCAGTTTTCTAATGTTCTGTCAGTAAGGCGAACCACTAGATCAACAGTCAAGAATAATTCTAAAAATACTTCCCCAGACATCAATATTACCGTGGAAGAGTCATGTTTCAGCACAAACGGGTTTTCTCGACCGTGACACCATGGCCTCACAGAAGATGGAAGATTACCGGTGTAAAATGAGACACACATATCTGTGTCCAAAGTGATGAATTCAAAAGTGGATTAAACATTGATAATAATAGTTTAATCTTTTTTTTCTTTGCGGAAATCCCCTCGGATACCATCCACCGGTGGGGTGGATGTCACCATGTCGGACTCGAACCGACTAAGAACCGCACGCGTTCTCGGGTAACAGTAGCCGGAGAACCAGGTGTAGATGACCCTCTCGTGTGTGGGAACCACGGTGTTCCTATTCTATCGGGTAGAAGTAGCTGGGGATCCAGATGTGGATGACTCCCTCGTGTGCGGAGCCACGTTGTCGCTGTTCCCATTCTACTTAATTCTACGACCTGCTTCTAATAGTTTACCCTAAGAATTTAAACAGAAATATTCTTCTATATCGGTAGTTTTCATATTTAGAGGTAACTAGCTGACCCGCGCAACTTCGTCTGCGTCTCTCAATAGTAATAAATTTTTTTCCGTTTTCGAAACATTCTTCATTGGTGCTCCGCTCCTATTGGTCTTAGCGTGATGATATATAGCCTATAGCCTTCCTCGATAAATGGGCTATCTAACACTGAAAGAATTTTTCAAATCGGACCCTTAGTTAATGAGATTAGCGCTTCAAACAAACAAACAAACAAACAAACTCTTCAGCTTTATAATATTAGTATAGATTTGGAAGTCAAGAGAGGGCTGCACTGTTGTATGCCTCACCGTTGCTAGTGGTAGTTCCAGAAGCAGACTTGCTGGCCGCTCCCTCTGCTCCGGAGGGGCTGACTGCACGGAGAGGAGCGACCCTGCCTTGTCCGGAGACAAAACGGCCTGTATAAAAATAATCAAGGTCAATTATCCACAATGTATGGTGACAATTTGCACCTTTTAAGAGGTGATCATATCTAATCATTCATGTAGTGATTTGTTTGCGATAAACTCACTTCTGAGATAGCATCTGTGGGCAGGTCAATAGAGCAGGACAGAGCCGTGGAAGTCGGTGGTGCTGACGTGCCGAGGATCTGCGTATCCAGTTTTGACAACTCCTGGAATAAATTTATTTATCTACATATGCGTCAAAAAGATAAAGTTCATTAATTTGTTTCTGTAATCTTAGTGGCAGTACGTGGGATGACAAAAGAATGAAAAAACAATTAAGGAATTTTTAAAATGGAACTCTGGGAATATGTAACTTTTTAAATTGCGAGCCTTGCACTCTATGGATACCGCATGACTTAACGGAGGACTAGAAACGACTACGTGTCCAGTGGTGCCGTAAAATGATAAAAAGTTTAACGGAGGTCAGACATTGTCTGTCTATAATATCGTTACATGTGACGAAACCTGGGTATACTACTTTGAACCCAAAAGAAAAAAAGACGTGTGGCACTCGGGGACTGCCGCGGTAAAGCTATTGCATAGCATTTTTTACCAACTAATGAAATTATAATTATTTGTTTATTTTATTTATGCAGTTTTTTTTTTTCCTTGGTTTTTTTTTCTTTGATATTACACTTTTCGAGCGTGGTAACCGATAAGAAAACATTTTTTTTCTTTTATTAAATAAATGAGAAGTTAATATTGTTCAAAATATTTTTATTATCTTACAATACATGTAGGTTATTCATTAATATTTATCATTGAAACTATAGGTTTATCTTAACTGAAATAAGAAACATAAGTTTGAGCTTGATATCTTCTAAATATCTGGAAAATACCGCGTCCAAACCAATGCCACCAATGCAGTGGAGTTGCTGAACTATAGAGACAAGCGTGATATTTCAAAAAAGTCATTAAAAGTTCTGCTATTCATCGATAGATGGCAAAACCAAAAAGTATCACCGCTGTGCCGGTCGGAGTGGCGGGTGTTAGGTTATTTTCGTTACGGAATTTCTGGATTCGGTCTCCACGCTCAAGGCCCACGATAGAAGCTACGCAATAGCTTAAAAACCAGTTGGCAGAGTGGATCTTTCCTTTTGAAGAGTTACCGACGAGAGTTTAGAAAAGTCGAAGCATTGGTAAAAAAATGGTTGCTTCTTTTTTCGGCAAATCAGGACATTACACTACAGTAACGCTTGAAGATCAAAGGACAGTGACTGCAGATTGGTACGTCAACACTTGCTTTCCTAGAGTGTACGAAAGCGTCCTCTTCTTACTAAGGTAAGAAAAGCCTATTTGAAGGCTTCAAATGTGGCACTGATGACACATCTGCCTTACAGCCCCGACCTCGTACCCCGCGACTTCTTTTTGTTTCCAAAAATTAAAGACAAACTTAGAGGCACACGTTTTATGAGCCCTGAATCGGCGGTGAATGCGTTCCATGAAGCCATTGAAGAGGTTCCCAAGGAAGATTGGCCCAACTGCTTTGTACAGTGGTTTCAGCGAATGCAAAAATGCATTAATTGCGAGGGAATATACTTTGAAAAACAATAAATGTATCGTAAGTCTTATATCTAGTCTTATTTATCAAAATACAGAAACTTTCAGTTGTACACCAGAGATTACTCGCTCTTCGCATGAAAAGATAATGAGACTTTAGAAAGCTGCTAGTATCTTATCATCATCATCAACAGCCTTCAATAGGTGGACTATAGGTGGCATGCTGGACATAAGCCTCTCTTTAGACAGTAGGTTTTGGCCAAGAATACCACACTGGCCAAACGCCGCTTATCTGTGAGGCCCTCACTCCAGTCGACTCTGGCCTAAAGGTGCCGAAGAGTGTGTCCCATTACCTTAAATGAATCCGTAAATCAGTGAATCCATCTGTAAGTTTGTCTTTTATATCGTGGTTTATATATATACTGGTATAAGATAGATTAGAAGAAGGTTAAAATTTACTTCCATTATTTGTTTACTTAGTTACAAGTGAAAGTAATAAAGAAAAGTTTGGCGAGTTTCTTTTAAATATTTGTTTCGTTATTCTTTATTATATTGTTTACCAAATTGAGGAACAATACTTTCCCCTTTTTTGGTATATTACATAATTGCTGACGAAAAACGTGAAAACTTGAGCAATACGATTTCATTTCTTATTGAAACTAATCGCTAATTCTGCACAATGTCCATTAAAGAAAACGTATAAAGCAAAATTTACAATGGACAGATTTTATTTCGGAAAAGTATCATTGATTTTGAGGGGACTAAATCACATCACATCACATCGCTTTTAACAATCTGGCAAGGCTGGAATAGGCCTCTGCTTAGAAAGGAGGTTTTGGCCTACTATACCACGCTGGCCACACGGGTTGGTATAGGGTTTGTGTCAAGTTTTCCTTCTCTTTGCAGTGTTGTTGTCCTGCGTAGTTTGCTCCCTTAATCGGCTCTTACAACACCCACGGGATGAATAGGGCTGATGACATTCCGAATTCTTAATCCGTCACCATTATAAGTAGATTTATTTTTTTAATTTAAACAGAACCGATTAAGTACAAAGATTTTATTAATTACGAGTATTTGTTGTTAAAATCGGGTGACAAATGGCGATTATACTGCGTGACATACACACAAAAAAATACAAAATAATCAGTCTAAGAATTTCTTCTGAAGTCATTTAAACAAAGAAAATCCCTTTAAAAAAGTTGAACCGACTTCAAACAATACTAACAAAGAGCACTAAAAACCTAGCAGCAATAGCGGTTAATTTTCTGTCATTTTTTTAAGAGTTCCGTTGTCTATCTCTGAAATTCATCATCAGATCTATATGAAATTTAAACGGGACTATTTCACAATAAACCCCTTTCGAATAAAAAAATAATTTTGAAAATCCGTTTATATATGACGGAGTTATGCCCGAACATACAATATCTTCATTTTGAAGTCGGTAAAATACTGAACACTTTTTCGTTTTTTTTTATTATTTTTTAAAAAGACAACCGCATCAGGAATATATCCTGTGTTGCGGGTGACTTTACAAACATACATGAAACGGACACAAAGAATACCTAGACTTGAACAACAATTTGTGGATCACACAGTGTCGTCCCATGTGGGGATCGAACCCACAACACCCAGCGTAGTAGTAATTGGTGTGGCGACCGCTTAAACCACTACGCCATCCGCGCAGTCATATTGAACACTATATCGAAACATTGCGAATAACCTCTGCAATGTTAACCGCGAGAGCTCTGAATCGGCCGTAGATGTGGTAAAAAAAAGCGGTGTGGTGTCGTGGGACACCCGATAGGAACGAAGTTGTGACGATCTAGTAAAACTGATTTGACACGATTTTAATTACAACGCCATCTATGAAAGCGGCTATTACCTACATATTAAAAACAATTTATACATTGGTAAAATCTCCTTGCGAAATGATTTCCTATCTATTCGATAGATGGCGCTGAATGTCTGACAAGATGACACGAAAATAAAGAGCAAAAAGCCAACATCACGTGGTATTCCCAGGCGGTCACCCATCCAAGTACTAACCACGCCCGATGTTGCTTAACTTCGGTTATCGGACGAGAACCTTTATATTCAACATGGTATGGACGTTGGCGAACGTTAAAGCAAATTTAATGTATGGTATCCACAGTTAGACGTCAATTTATATTAAAAGTGTCGTTCCAAATTTTCGTATGAATTTTTTCCGTCTAGCCCCCTTTCACAACGCGCGATAAGGAACTTCGTTCCAAAAATGGTCAACAATCTAAAGACTGACCCGGCTAGGTTTGCTTAACTTTGTAATGTGTTAACCTCTAGTCGGTTACCACTTAATCACGAGCTACTATAATTATAATATTAGTTAAAAAGTTACACAATTTTTCCGTTTTAAATTAATTCCATTACATTCCGGTGAAATTACCACTGAAATTATTCGTGACCGTCATTAAAGTTGTAGGTAACCTTGACAATAATAAAACGTTAAAATATTACTATTATTGCGTAATTAATGTGCTTACTTCATGGTGGCACATTAATTACATTATATCGGTTTGAAGGGTGGGTTTTTCCGGCAACAACCGATTTGAATTACAGTTATACTTTACATAAGCTTTAGTGAATGGTTTTCATAGTTCATAGTTTTTTTTAAAGACAGGTTCCACCGCAAACATCTATACAAATAAATAAAATTGAAGTGTCTGTTTGTAATGTCAAAATTATAGGTTTTTTTCATGCTCACACGGTTATTTGCACGATACCTATGCCTAAAAACCAGTTGTTTTTTTTGTCTGTCTGTTTGTGCCGGGTAATCTTCTAAACGGCTAAACCTATTTCGATAATATTTTACTACCAGGTAGCTGTTTACATAAGGAATAACTTAGGCTATTTTTCCTCTCAGGAAAACCCTTTAAAATTTTGCCCGGTCCTGGCAGCGAACCCACTAACGCAACGCTTTCCACGCGAAGGAAGTCGCGAGTACCAGCTAGTTAGGAATATATCCTGTGGAATTGACAAACATTCATGAAATGGACAAAAAGAACACCTAGACTCAGGACATTAATATAGGGATCACATAAAGTGTAATAATTATTATTATTATATTGTTTCATCCCCAGATCGCTTGTGTTCCAGTCCTAGCGGCTGCTGCAAGCTCAAGCCCAATCTAGAAGTAAATAAGAGGGGTTGAAAATACAATAAATTCCCTTCCCTCCTCAGTAAAGCGGGAGGCACTCTATAAAACAGGAAGCACCACGAACACAAAAGCATTTATTATGGGTCCTAGCGAGCTGTAGGTATTTAATTTCTATAATATGTTTGGTCAAAATCGCCCAAACGCATAGAATGAAGTGAATTCACAATAACAGCATTAAGAATTATTTCTTATAATAAATAAGTAGATGGTATAACACTATTGCATTGGGCTAAGCCTGTAAAAATAGTTGTTTTTAAAGAAAATAAATAAATAAATAAATTCACCCTAGTTGACACAAGATCCATATCCACAAGATATATATCCATATCGCCCCGGATATCACCTGTAAGCTATGCCTTCTAGCTTTTGCCAGCGGTTATCGCGGTAAAAATAGCCAATGTTTGTTTTTATGGTATCCTTACACCATAAAAAAAAACATTGGCTTAAGCAATGGTAAACATAATACCATATCACATAAGGATATGTGGATTTAGAATAGATATACCTGACTACCCGCTTTTGCATTTTTTTTATGGTATAAGAGGCAAACGAGCAGACGGGTTACCTGTTGGTAAGCAACTACCGCCGCCCATGGACACCTGCAACTCAAAAGTCAACAAAAAAAAACAAGTGCGTTGCTGCCCTTGGAGTCCCTACTAGTCAGCGGGAGGGGATTAGGGCTCCGGTAACCTCACTCACTCAGTGAAATCCTGGTAATGTAGCTTTCCATCGGAAAAAGAATTTTTAAAATCGGTTTAGTGGTTTAGATTGAAAGCGTAACAAATAAACAAATTCACTCTCACAATATACTAGCTTTTGTATGTCGCTTATCTCGAAAAAGTAACCTATGTTACTTGCTGATAATGTAGTTTTCTATTGGTGAAGAATTTTTTAAATCCCTGATGTCAAAGGGTGATTTGGTCGAACAGCGACAACACCCTTTTAATTAAAGAATAAAAAACTCTAAAAACGATTACTTTCCAAAGAAGTATTTACGTCAGAACGGTAGCCCAAACTATAGTGTATAGCAGAATGTATTAAATATGTATTTCATACAAATATTAACATCTAACTGCAGCACTTTAGGTTTACTGAGAAAAACAACGAGAACAGGATCAGGGACTTACTTATAGTACAGTTATTCTAGATAAATGCATTTTTTTTTGGGATTTTGCCAAAACATTTCGGCTGGATGCTCAGTAACATCCATGGGTGTTTTAGTTTTATATAGGTCAAAAGGACGCTGTGTAGAATGGACTACCTCACATCACACATCAACAGCCTTTAATAGTCCACTGCTGGACATAAGCCTCTCCTTAGAAAGGAGGTTTTGGCCTACTAAATGAACCTACAAAATTTATATGCTACAGTAGTTGAGCGGGCCTATAAATATTGCATTATAAGATGTCCTGTAGTATAGTCTTATCATAATAATAATATAATAAATTATTCCACACTGACACCATATTAGTAGTATCACTATTGCACCCGTACGAAACCGGGGCGGGTCGCTAATATACTATGAGTTTGTTTGTAACGCTTGCGCTTGCGCGGATTTAAAAAAATCAAAACGAAATTTCAGCGAGTAACATTTGGTTTCTTTTTACCACTATTATCGATATACACGGGAGCTGAGTCGCGGGGAAAACCAAGTTCATTTTAAAATTAAGTCCGTCGCCGCGTCTGTCTGTCAATAAACTTAAAAAGTGCAGATCGAATTTTCATGTTTGAACCAATCTTGTGGAGAACCAATTTAATTTAAAAGTGTTTACTAAATAGAAAGAAAGAAAACATATTTTATTTCTAAGATACACGAAAAACAATTCATATATATATATATAAAAAATACATATGGCAACCCTGTGCTAAAAAAAAATCGGCTGTCTGTAAAGTCGGTTTACTGACGATAGTTGAACGTAACAACGTCATAAGACACCACATTCACTTTTCACTGCACTTCATACTTGACGAAAACATGTAAATGTATTATTGTATAGCAGCTGTCCACGCGGACGCATCGCTCACTCAAGTAGGAGAGAGACAGATGTCAAACGCTACCGAACGCGGAGGCCGATTGTGCCTCTTTGTCGCTCGTTCCGCGCTCTCGCTTGCATTTCAAGCCTTAAATGGAACGCCTCAGAGCGAGGTAACGCCGCATGAGTCATGTTTTTTCGTGCGTGCAGCCGGCTCCATCGAATTATAAGACGTTGTCACGTCAAAAACACGCTGTTTCGAATGTCACCGGTACGTAGCCAGTGTCGTCGCACAATGCGGCAACACTGGCTACGTACCGTTCGCCTCGCACACAGCCTCACTGGCGCTCACCTGTCAAATGTGTGACTAGGGAAGGTAGCCACACTTGCGTCGTGTATCAGAAATTTGGATGGACAATCAGCATACACTGAGATGGGTAGCACCTAGCCAAGTACTGATTTTCAGTGCCAAATAGGTTAA